GGCGAGATTCGCCGGCCACTGATTGAAATAATACACGCTACGGATAACATTCATGGCTATGGGCGATTTACTATGGGTTCATGGGCCTAGGATTTAAAGATCGCAGGTGAAAGATTCTGATTTTGTGAACTTATTGCCCGGGATAATTCGTTTGCCAGTGCAAGAGATCACAGAATATCGAAAACATCGGACAAGTATTAAATTAACCCTCGCATATTGAGTAACCTCGAAAAGTATTTAGTTAAAAGTAATCATGTAGTTTTTGATTTGGATTATCGGTTTCCGAGAAAAGGTTTGGAAAAAAGGTTGTAACATAATGGAGATTTAGCTTAAATTTCGATTTACTTTAAGTTGTACGCGTACGGAAAGTAGATTTGAAAAAATTAATATACACCGATCATGCTTTTAGTATTCTCCGTAGGTTTGAACTTTTTCAGAATGTTGCGCTATTTTTTGATAAAAAGTGTAGGTTCGTTGAGTATCTAATGAGCAACTAGTACTGTGTAACTTATGGTACTCATCCTGTGTAAAATTACCTACTTGTTTTATAAGCTGTGTTCCTAGTTATCGCAAGCTCAAGAACGTAATCCCAATTTATCCTTGTCGTCTGTCCTATCTCTGCACAACTCGTCCACTAAGAAAATTACATCTACTTTATACGTCACGTAGCAGCTTCAATGAAATTACATATGTTTCTCTCATCACTACAAATCCATTCAACCTCACAATCAGAATCACAATCATTCGGCAACATTAATCCCTAAATTAGTAACTGTTTAGTAACTCCTAAGAAATGAACATATGCCATGTACACGTCGAAATCCTTCGTAATTTCGATTTTTCATTGTAAATGAATCACTTTCGAAATGTTAAACAGAAAAATGTTAGGGTTATGTTAATCACCGAAATCAAGGTACACGTTGTACGAAATAAGTTACGACTATACGAATCTCTTGTACTCCCATAACGCGTTTAAAATCTCTCATTCTGAGGGATTTAAAAACTACTTGGACGAAAAAACGAGAAGGTATGCACGAGAGTAAAAATGCAAGGGAACGAATCTTGTTGAAAATCTTGTCGTTGTCCCGGCACGACTCTCGGTATGCATAGCTTAAAGGGGAACTGGAACTCGCAGTAAGGAGTCTAAGATAATCACGTTTATACGACGGTCCGCATTCCGAGAATTCGATACTCTACTACGGGGAAGAAGTTGTTCCATGCTATCCGGAGCCGTTTTCACGATCGTTCAATTTGTACTCACGGCCAGCAATGATCGCTCCCTGAACCGAGCTGTGAAAAAGAAGCAGGTATAATCTCGCCATCTCTCGATCATACGAATCAGATTCCACTTTGTTACGAATTCTCGGAAGAGTTGGAGTTTACAAAGTGAAGATTTTTTAATATCGGTCGTACGATTATCTGAGATCGGCTTTGCTAAAAGCCAACTATGTAAGGAAGACAATGGAATTAAAATTTAGAGAATTAGAATTAGAGAAAAAAAATGGTACAAACGTCTTTTAGAAATTGAATATTATAAATATTAATTGGTAGTTGACAAGCGTAGTGAATTGTATTAGAGTGTATAATTGCTTGATATTACTATCAATGTTAGGGCGATAGAAAGCGATCCTATGACCAGTTACGAATCAAAATTACCTAACATCCGCTAGGTGAGAGTTGATACGTGTAAAAAGTTCGACGAAATCGATGACAACTCGAATATGATAGGAAAGCGCTAATAATCGGTTTGAAGATTTTTAGTACAGCAAATTACAAGAAATTACACGAAATCAATAGGAATAGAAAGAAATCAAAGACATTGCCAAATATTCAATTAACTCTCTCCATTCGAAAACTCCTACCGTGATCGAAAATATGATTGAAAATTTCTAATAAAACTCGATATTTATTTACCACCGTACGCTCCAAGTTTCATTAAAATTCCATCATCGAGATGTTACATTGTATTATTAAAATATCGGAAAAAATGCTTTCAATATACGTTCCTTCAAATCGACGGTACAATTGCAAAGATCCGACCGTCTACAGTGATTTTTCCCGATGGAGACGATACACGTTCCGTGCCATTAAAACGTAATCTCGTATTACCACGACAAAAAGCGGAGCATTGACGGACTGTAGTCTGGCAAAGCAGAAACACAAAGTAACGTTAGTACGTGTAATAAAGTAATCATCCGATCCAAGGAAGAGCAAAAAGCTGTGCGGGCAAGCTGTTATCCCTGCATATGCTTGAACCGCGATGGTGAATATTACAAAGTGCGGTCGAGTTGAAAGTAACGAGAGAAAAGCCGGCGATGGCTCGATTTTCGAACAACGCGTGGCAAGAACGAGAAGACGGTTACGAAAGATGAGCAAAGAGCGAAGAAGAAAGGGAAAAAAGAGCGACTTACCGCTGGTTGAGCTGTACTCGCCGATGTATCGCCTCGTCAAATACCGCACTACTACGGCTGAAAGGAAAAACGAGATGTTAAACGTGCGAAACATTTTTCACCAGGAAAATACCAAAGCAATCAAAACGATGGACACGCTGTATCGTTTATTTTAAATGGAAGTTGCTCGTAATATATAGGAATTTCTTGCTATTTATAGTAATTAATTAATGATACTATGTGTGATAGAAAGTTTCATTTATAGCGCAGCATTTCCTGAACTTTTCTGGGATCTTTTCTTAAGAATACGAGTAAGATATACCTTTTTTCTCTTTATGTTGAGAACATTTGGAGAAACGTTTGTTATTTTGATTGCTTCGGTAGAAATATGTATATATAAGTTAATTGTTATGTAATTTTAAATAATTTGATAATAAAGAATAGCACATGATTTAAACTATCACAATCTATTTAGTTGTTGTTACGTGTTATTGAATATTCAAATTAACTTATAACGAGAAAATGAGAAAATTAAAATATTCTAAAATTGCTAGCTTCGGTTCTCAATCAGCTTTTTGTTACGTTATTCGATTTGATAAAATCGAAGGTGACGCGATTTCATAGTAATTTAAATATATTTTAATCAAAGTTGTCGTCGGTATCAGGCTGAATGAAAGTGTCAGTCGTTCGTTTCTTAGTTTTAACAGGAACTGGTTTATATAAGTGAAAAGCGACTAATTAACTTCTCTGTTTGACCATATCGTATCTTTACGCATTTTTTCTGAAGCATTTCGATCTTATGTTATAAAAACGAAACAGTGTAGTTTCCAAGGCACTAAATTCTAAATAATAGATCTTTCGATCTGCTGCTTATATCACGCGAAATAGAATAAAACTTTCATAATCGATAAAATTCTCCTTTAATGATACTAAATACGATACCTCAACATTAAATCTATATACGGTTTTACGTAATTACCTTGTTTGATAAATTTACCTAAAAACTTGCAAATTGGAGATAAGAATGTACAAGAAACTTAGTCTTAACGTCTGCATCGATATACTTTACTAGGACGTGGTCGAAAAATATCTGTTACATATATTTACGTCAATAATTAACGCACTTTTCCTGTCTAAACAAGTTAATTCACATTGATAAATTTGACAAGTGTATCACCGGCGTTAGAAAGTTTACCTGTTAGCACGTACACCGACCATCATACTCGCTATTAAAGGAAATTGCAGAAACTCCCTAAGTTCACATTACTAAAATATAATTCATTCAATTGTTGCTTGCAAACTTTTTAATTTCAGATAAGAGTTCGTTTTTATTTTCCTTGCGTTATAATACAAGTTCCATGCTTTAATCATCGATAATTCTAATCTGAACGTAATTTAAACCAACCATTTGATCATTTGATACCATTTTATGAGAAATCACTTGATAAAAATACATATAAACCGATACTATCCGTTCTTCGGCCGCTGTCCCTTCATAATCACGTTGTTCCACTCACGCCCTATCGATTCGATTCCCCTCATCCCTATCAAAGCAATGCTGCGAAACAAGCAATAACCGCAACCATATTTATACCGACAGAGATAGTAAATAATAATTCGCTCGTCGCCTCGAACGCCTTCAAAGTGGAGGCAAATTAAATTGGTAAGACTCGGGGGAGGATCGGTATATTCACGCTTGGTGGCTTAATTGAATTTTTGCGGACCCTCCGCGAGTGTGTGCGGGGGCGTTCGGAGAGTCAGAAAACAGACGGCGTAGAACAAGGATCGTACGTCATTAGCTGCGATAAAAGTATTCTCTTAAGCCAAGCCACCACACCTCCTGTCGACAGCTCGCCGAGAGACGCGGAGAATCCCGCCGAGTCGTTCCTCGTGTACCTTTGCGTTTGAACCCTACAATTTCGCGCGGACCAAGGATCG